TAAGGCACTGGAAAAGGGGGATGGTTGTAAGGAGGCAATTTATCAAACGTTTATTAGGTAAGTGTCTACCGACAAGAGTCATCATCCTACTTACCTTATCAGGTAACATTCTCGCCAATCAAAATAGATTGTGGGTAAGCGACTTTTATCTGGTAAGCGCTTAACGGGTAAGAGTCTCCTTTACTCATTTAGCAGGTAAGATTCTGGATCCTTGTTATGCATCTTACAAGTACAATTAGCTGTCCTTACCGACACTGATGATAAGATAAATGACATCTGGTAAGTGTTTATCCAGTAAGCTATGAGTAAACAACACCCGCTAAATGCAGGTCATGCATATATGAATTAAATGGCAGTGGGAGGGAGAAAAGGACGACACGTTGTGTCGTTGTCATTTTATTGTTGGGATATCCAGGGGATATTGGAATAGAGAACGAACACGACAACAAAATTAAGTATATATATATATATATATATATATATATATATGATGCCAACGTAGTGTTAAGATGTCTTAATAAATTACTTTATAGGACTTAACTTTACACAACCATACAATTTATGGCGTGTATAACAGTGTTACAATTAATTTATAAGACGTTTTTGTACGTCTTAACAAGTTTTTTAAATTAGTACCCTTTAACCTTTTATACGACATTATTTGAAAAAAATATCTTATAAAAACAAGAGATTATACAAAGACGTGTCTATAAGACACCTCTAATAAATGTCTTAATAAAAAAGGTGTTTTAAAAACTTTCAAAGCATCATATAAATTAAAACTTACTAGAATGGTACTCACGCAATGCAGCGAGATACATCTTGATTTTAATGTTTCGTTTTATCCTGTCTCCGTCGATGTTATAATATGATTTTATGTGGTGCTAAAAAAACGATAATTTTTATTTTTTGAATAAAATATAAATTTGAAAGTATCATAAAATTTTGAAAAAAAATGTATCAATTTTAGTATCAAATTAAATATTTAAAAGTTCTTTTTTTGTGTAATTTCTTTAATTTAATTTTTTCTTACACTTTAATTTAGATTTAAAAAGGAACTCATTTATTTTTGGTTTAATAATATATTTTTTTATAAAGATAATAATTCGTATTTTGTTAGAATTCAATGATTATCTTAAATATATTTTAAATTTTCTATATTTAAAATAAGACACATATCCAATATTTGATTATGTTTATCTGCAATTAGTCATATGAATTCAAATGTGAAGCTTTAATAAGTTGTACATACGCACAATTTACTTGTAATCTTGAATTTTAAGCAATATTCATTAATAAACAATACTTATGATTTGTTTGTTTACCTTTTAATAGTTCCATTAAGATGCAACATCTGAATCGTTAAAAGGTGAATCTTGTTTGACAGAAAAAAAGTCTGCCTCTTAATGGTTCTAAAACTCTGTGAATAATTTTGTATCCTAGGCTTCTCTTAACCATTCAGCGCCCTAATTTCATTATAAACAATTACCAAATAATTATATTTTATTTTGCATTATATCATGAGAGCCTCTTAATCATTCTGCACCAAATCATTCAGCAATTGCCAAACAGCCCCTTAATGCATAAAAAACGGGTTTTAAAAGTTTTTGTCAAATGCTTTATAATATAGTGTAGATTATTGTAGCAATTTTATACACGACACACAATTATTTGATTCTATAAGCTTAAGGGTCTGTTTGGCTCATGTTGAAGAATTGAAATTGAAATGTTAACCAGTAATGAGATTTTGGCTTTCCGGATGAATGAGTCCATTATATTATAGAAAACCAAACAATTTTTTTATTTTCATTATCATTGATTACTGCTTAATACATCTAACCAAACACCATTTAAGTATTATCAAACAGTCTATTAAGACATCGAAATATTCTAAACATCTTATAAACCTGAATTCATCATATAAATACAATAATAATAAATTAATTTTTTTCCCAAATTAAAAGTTAAAATTAAAATATAATTAATTAATAATTAACATATGATAAATTTGAATAAAAAATATAGAAAATTATAAAACCGATGAATGTAACTTTTGACCAAGTCAAATATAATCCTTCATTCCAGCTGATTCTTGAGACTTCCCAAAAATAAAATATTTATAAATATAAAAATAATTAACCCAGCTGGGTAACAGTTGGGTCAATTTAATAATTAATAAATGATTATATATATATATATATGTATATATATATGTATAGTATATATATATATATATATATATATATATTTAGGGTTAGGCAGTAAACTTTAGTTACCAATTGGGCACATGGACTTCCCAAAGTCATTCACTTGTTTTCTTTAAATGCTAAACCAGATAGAAATTTATTAAATATATGATCAGATTTAATGGAAAACCGTAAAAAAAATAAGATCGAAGGATATTTTGTTAATCATTTATCTGTGTATATGAATAATTTTTCTGGTATATACATACACGTATATATGTATAGAAATTAAGAAAAAACTTCAATTACTTGTATATGCATATCTGCATATCATACAAATTAATGGTTACCATGTTGTTTCTTAATTCTCATTTGTGGAGGAAAACCTGAATTTCACTCTCTCTCTCTCTCTCTATATATATATATATATAGAGAGAGAGAGAGACTTGAGATCACGTGAGACCAACATGTTTTCGTGAGACCCGTGAGAGTACTTTTTTATACTTGAAACTTCACAGCAAAACACTGTGAAAGTAACCTTCACAATATTTTTGCTGTGAAGTTTCAAGGTGTAAAAAAGTAGTCTCATGAGTCTCACGAAAACAAGTTGATCTCTCGTAATCCCAAATATATATATATATATATATATGTGTGTGTGTGTGTGTGTGTGTGGAAGGGTTCATACGAAAACACTTTCATTTAACGTGAACGCGAGAACACCCTTTTACTATAGATAATTACATGTGATATTATTGTTTCATCATATATGATACACATATGATACTAAATCAGAGACACAAGCGACTTTTGACGTGATATTGGTTGCGGGCCAAGTCGTCCTTACACCACTAAGCTCCCCTCACATGTATTATAAAATGTGATAAATGTGTTTTTGATGTGATCATACTATAATCCATCAAGACCATCACCTGTAATGTTAAATCATAGATGCGAATGACCTTTAGCGCGGCCTAAGTTGCAGAACACGTTGTCTGCACACCACCAGGTTCCCTCACGTGTATTATCACGTGTGATAAGGGTGTTCTCGCATTCTTGTAAAATGGAGGTATTCTCATTTGAATCTACATAAGGTTTACTTTGCAAACCACGTTATTTACATTTTACAAATCTTATTCAACCAATCATTAATTTTTATTTTGTTCATTTTTTGTAATTATGAGAGGTTGATTAATCTTTTCTATTGTAGAGAGTGTTAATCATGGATATTATCATCTTCATTATATTAATTGTAGAGAAATACATAAAACGGTTTCATTAAAATTTCATAACCATGTATGAAACAACTTCATTAAAAAAGTATTATATGAAACAATTTCATAAGATTAAACGATGAAATCGACGAATGAGGGTGATTTGCACGGTTTGTACAAATATGAGTGATTTGCATTTGATTGCTCTTCTATGTATATACACATATGTGTGTGTGTGTGTATGTATGTATGTATGTATGTATGTATGTATGTATGTATGTATGTATGTATGTATAAGGGACTAATCATGTGAAAACCCATAAAATTGTAAAAACATTGAGAACCGGTGTATAATGTATAATGTGTAAAAACAAGCTTATTGAATAGTTTTGATTGATTTCACAGGGTTGTTCACGCATGAAACAATGCATGGAATTGTTTTTATGGTTTCTAACTTTAACTGGTTTTTATCTGATTTTTTCTCCACTTATACACACACATGTATATATATAGGGTTGAGTTCATGTGAGACCAGCCTGTTTTCGTGAGACCTGTGAGATCACCTTTCTACACTTGAAACTTCATAGCAAAACGCTGTGAAGGTAAAAAAAAAGCTGAACTTTCACAACAAAAACCTTGTGAAGTTAAAAAAATCCGAACCTTCATAGCAAAACACTGTGAAGGTTACCTTCATAAGGTTTTGCTTTGGAGTTTCAAGTGTGAAAAAGTTGTTTCACGGGTCTCACAAAAGCAGGTTGGTCTCACGTGATCCCAGGTCATGTAAAAAAAACACACACACAGATATATATATATATATATATATATATATATTTGTAGAGGGGCCTTCACTTGAGAAGACATAAAATTGTGATAACCTTAGGAAATAATACATCATGTGTTATTTCATCTACTGTTTTGAATTTAGTGTATTGATTAACATATACAACTTGTTTCATAAAGTGTTTATTTCATATATATCTGTTTCACAATATGAACATTTTAATATGTTTGTTAAACAAAAAATACGATTAAAAAGTTTAACATTAAAAACTGAATAAATATAAAACAATCACATTATGATAACTAATATATTAAATTTTAGTCTTAATAATAATTTCACACTTATCATAATTTATGGGATCCTCATTTGATCATACACCTATACATATACACACACATATATATATATATATATATATATATATATATATATATAACTTGGGATCATGTTGGTGAGACAAACTTGTTTTCACGATACCCATGAGATCATTTTTTTTGCACTTGAAACTTTACAGCAAAACATTGTGAAGGTAACATTCATAGTGTTTTTGCTGTGAAGGTTCAACTTTTTTTTACCTTCACAGCGTTTTGCTGTGAAGTTTTAAGTGTAAAAAACTGGTCTCACGAAAACAAACTGTTCTCACGTGAACTCAACCTTTTATATTATATATATATATACACACTTATATGTGTGTATGTATATGTATGTGAGTGTTTTGTTTAGTATGAACAAAGGGGTGTATGAATTGATCTTTTCCTTGGTTTCTCTTTCATCAACCCTGAATTCATATCTTCTCTCTCTTCTCTCTCTCTCTCTCTCTCTCTCTCTAAACCTGAAGCATTCATGTCCTTCTGACCATCCATCCATCCATCTGCATGAACTCATCATCATCCATCGATTAAATACCAATCAACACGACGACACAAAAAACACAACTTTTTTCACTGTTTTCATGGCGGCATCCATGAACAACTGGTTAGGTTTCTCTCTCTCACCTCAAGATCAGCAACAAATCGTCGATAACTTCAACTCCGATGACATCTCCGCCACCGCCGAGTGCTTTGATCTTCCTTCCAACGCCGCCGTTCACTCCAACATACCTTCCCTCAACCTCCCACCCCCATTCGGCTTCCTCGAACCCTATCATCATCATCATCATGGTAATCATTTCTTTCAATATTTCAAACCTTCTATACATACATATATATATATATACTTGGTATCATTTAATACCTGTCTGTTTTCGTGAGACCACATAAATAGCATCCCTTCACACTTTACAGCAAAAAATTACTGTAAAGATGTGTGCATCTTCGTAGTGTTTTCATGTGAAGATTTAGTGTTTTTCTACCTCCACAATGTTTTGTTATGAAGTTCAAGTGTTAATTAACCATAAGGGTTTGTGGCATAGTGGGTTGGGGTCCTCAAAAACATGGTATAATATCTCATTTTTCCAGGATTCGATTTCAAGCATACAAAACAATTGTGGCCACTGAATTTATCAGAACTGATTTTTTATGGTCACAATTTGTCAGGATTAGTCTAAACATGAACATCCTTAGAAAAAAAAAAGTTTCAGTGGCAATTTTTTATTTTTCGAGTCTCACGAAACTAGTTTGCTCTGAACTAAACCCCATATATATGTATATGTATATATGTATGATTGTTTTGAGGAAATGAAGAACCTTAAAATCTTGTTTTTGTTTTGGTGAAAACACAGATTGGAATATGAAGTCGAGCTCGGAGTTGTCGATGTTAATGGGTGGTGGTGGTGGTGGCGGCAGCAACGGTGGTGGTGGTGGTTCATGCAACGGTGAAAACCCTGAAATCCAAGCTCCAAAGTTTGAAAACTTTCTTAGTGTTGGAAATGGCGGAGATTATATGTATTCTACTACAAACTGTTCTATGCAACTTCCGCCGCAAGCGGCGGTGACAGACGTTACAACCACCACCAGAGGGAGCAACGCCACCGCCACCACTACCGGCACCGGCAGTAGCATTGGTCTTTCCATGATAAAGAACTGGCTCAGAAACAACCCAGCTCCATCCCACCAACAAAACAATACCACCGCCACCACCAGACCGACGGAGAGTCACGATAATAACGATGGTGGGGCGGCGGCGATGGGTGGTTTTTGTGGTGGTAGAAGCAATGAGCTTTCACTTTCTATGAGTACTGGTTCTCAGTCTAGTTCACCTCTTCCACTTCTTGACACAACTTACGGCGGTGGTGGTGGTGGTGGGTTTGTCGGAGGTGGCGGTGGCGGTGGAGATAGTTCTTCTTCTGATAATAAAAGACAACAAATGGAGGTGGCAACCACCGTAGATAGTGAAAATGGTGGCGGTGGCGGTGGTGGTGCAATTGAGGCGGTGCCACGGAAATCCATTGATACATTTGGACAAAGAACTTCTATTTACCGTGGCGTCACAAGGTTCCACAAATTATTTTTATTTATTTAATTACATTTTAATTATTAAACATCAAAGGGTTGTTTGTTTACCTCTTAATAGTTCCATTAAGATATAACATCTGAATCGTTAAGATATAAATCTTATTTGACAAAAAAAAGTTTGCATCTTAATGGTTCTGAATAATTTTGTACCATGTCTCTCTTAACTTACTACAACAAAATCGGGTTTATAGGACACTCTCAATTTCTAAGTGTCCTAATAGACCTCTTTATTTATTGGACCAAAAAAATAAAGTATCCCATCTAAAGGTGTTGTAATAATTTTATATGACGTTTCTTGATGTCGTATTACGTTTTTTAGAACACTTTTAATATAAAACGTTCCATTAACAACTTTATAGGACACTATCTGAAAAAATGTCCTATAAAAACTTGAATTTATAGGACACTTTCTCAAAAGTGTCATATAAAGTTGCTAATGCGACACTTTGTATTAAAAATGTCCTAAAAAACTTGTTAAGACGTCCAAAAGCGCCATATAAACTTATTACAACACCTTTAGATATGACGCTTTATATTTTAGTCCTATAAAGCGGTCTATTGAGACGTTTAGAGATTGGGGGCGTCCTATAAACCCAATTTTGTTGTAGCGACTATTCAGAGCCCTAATTTCATTATAAAAAATTGGCAAACAATTATATTTCATTTTCCACTATATCATGAAAGACTCTTAATCAATATGATCTCTTAATCATTCTGCACCAAACCATTCAGCAAGTGCCAAAATTCCCTTAAAATAAATTCGGTTTCGGTTTTAATTTTCGTTCTAAAATAAGTGTCCATAATTGAAACGTTTAAATTTGTATTATTTTTTATTATTATTTAAAAAAATATTTAGGGTTTTTTTGGTAGTACAGACACAGATGGACAGGGAGATACGAAGCTCATTTATGGGATAATAGTTGCAGGAGAGAAGGACAAGTTCGTAAGGGAAGACAAGGTATTTTTAATTAATTAATTAATTTAAAATTATTTCTTAAATTAATTAATTTAATTATTAACATAATATTATTTCCTATTTTTTTGCATGGATTAATTAATGATTCAACTGGGATTTGATTCAATATTCTTGCAGTTTATTTGGGTAAGTTTTATTATATAAAAAAGGTGTTCTTTATTTCTTATGGATCATGAAATCTAGGGTTTATAATTTAGGGTAAATTGTATGAAAAGATAACGTACTTTAATTTGATTCTTATTTTGAGTAACTAGAAGAGTACTCGCGCAATGCAGCGAGATACATCGTGTTTTTAATATTTCATTTTATTCTTTATCTCAGTCGATGTTATAATATGACTTTATGTGATTTTGAGAAAGCGATGATGTTTTTATTTTTGAATAAAATA